ATATATATATATATATATATATATATATATATAATTACTAGCAAGGCATTTAATAAAATTATTTTTAGTTTCCCTCTATTTTCGGTTATAAAAATTGTATCATGATTATTTTTTTACTTTTCACATTAATGTACCCTATTAAGTGTAATAATATGATTTTTTATTATTATTATTATATAATAGCTAATGCTAATACCAACTAATAACAATCCAAACTAAATAGAAACTACATAAGTATAAATAATTCTAATGTGAATTTTTTTCTTCAAGCTATTTATTCTAAAATAAATATTATTTTTTTTATATCATGAAACAATTTTCTTAAAAAAAATACGCTGGATAGTTTTAAATTTTTAATAACATAGTCAAACTACTGTAAAATCTTATAAACAATTGTTGCTATAATAATGATGATGATGATGATGATGATATTTTTTTTTAACTAATTTCCTGATCATGATCCCTCCAAATTGTAAAAATTACATAACCCACATTTTTTTCAATCAATATAGTGATTTACATATACTTAAATAATTATGTTTATATTTTTCTAATTTTTAATAATGATCAAATCTTAAAAATATAAGATGTTATAATTTTAAAATTTTCAAACATTATATATAATATTTTATTTATCTGTGAATGTACGTAGGATGATTATTTGTATTATATAATAGTTAAAAATAAAAAAAAAATGCTACATATAAATATAATATTAAAATAATTATAAATGAAAGATAAGAACTTGGGCAAATAATAACCACAAATCGAAACGAGTAGCGTGACACTCTCGAAAATATTTTTTCTGCAGCCCGTTACGCGCACTCACTCGCCGTTGACGTGGCAGCACATCACCGCCTTCGGATCACTGGCATCCAGCGCGTGAGATTAAAAGACGTGCGTCTCTCAACCGACACAAGCCTTTTTAGAGAGAGAAAACAAGATTTTTTTTTTCTAGAGAGAGAAAGCGAGTGAGAGTTCGATCGAGCCCCAGCCCCTCAAACCCTAATCGATTTTCCCCAATCTTTTCTTTTTCGTCATTTTTTTTCTCAATAATTTTTCCCTTCCAATCGATCGATATGAACTCTATTTCCTCTCCAGATCTTTAGCTTTTTCTTTGATTTGGGCTTTTTTTTTGTGTTGTAACAATCAGATCTCGCTATATATATTTGTAAAGGTTCAGTCTTTCTGATTCGATCGAGCTAGTGTCCTATAGTCGTTATCGGTGTCCTGGTTTGGGCGATTGTTCTCTAAGATTATCTTCGAAACCCTAGATTTATTGTGTGACAGGGTTATGTTAGGGTTCTTGACGGCTGATTCTGCAAAAATTAGGGTTTTTTATTCCACAGATTCGTAAATTTACATGTTGTATGGCTTCAGAGACCTTAGGGGATTCCGGTGAGGATTTGATTGCGAAAGCGAGGGACCGATGGACGGAGAAAAGCATAGTCTACACGCGGAGAAACCGCAAGAACGCCCCCAAAACCTCCATTAATGACGATAATACCCCCACCACGACAGCCTCCGTCCGTGAGAACCCATCGTCCGCAGTCCTCACAGCCTCTGCAAATTCCATCCCCACCCGAACTGAGGTCTCTACTGCCGTCTCCTCTGCTGATGCGTCCCTCTCTCCACCACCCGCCGCTGCCAGCTGTCTGGCCCAAGATTCCGGGAATGGTTTAGTAATAAAGGAGAAAGAAAATGGCTTCTCTCTCCAGTCTCAAGACGCCAATGAAGATTCTCAGATTCGAACTCCCGAACCGCTTAATTTAGAGTGTTTGCCAACGCCTGATGCCAACAAAGCTCAAAATTTAGAAAATAGACCGCCGGATGGAAATGAGGATTTGGGCTCTCCTCAAACGCCCCAAGTTAAGGGAAATGGCGTCGTGAAGCCTCTTGTTATGTCCACTGTTGATGATAGGATAAAGTTCAACTTAAGCAAGGCTACGGCAAAGGATGATATCAAGGATTTTAGGCGGACACTGCTTAGCGAAATTGAACAGGTTTCCAGGCTCGTTAAGGAGCTTGAGGCCAAGGAACTTGAGATTACACCGAACAACACTCAGATTAGCAATAATGATGTAAGTAATGTTAGTAATTATGTTGCCGCCAATGGGTCCAGCTTGAGTGGTTACAGTTATCCTCAAACCCAGCTAGCCCGGAATGAGGTGGCAGACCGGAGGCTGCTGGTGAGAGTGAATTCAGAGGTGGGTCCTCTCGAGAACCCTGAGCCAAGACACGTGGGACTGTCAAGAGTGAATTCTGACATGGGTGCTGCCCGGATTATTGAGCCGAGGCTTTACAACCGGCAATTGAGTGTGGCTGTTATGGAAAACAATAACAGAGGGAGTGAGTTTGTCGAGAAGGAGAAGCGCACGCCAAAGGCAAACCAGTTTTACAGAAACTCTGAATTCCTCCTTGGAAAGGACAGGCTGCCACCCGAGAACAACAAGAGGCTTAAGACAGGAAATGGGAGGAAACATGGTGGGGACAATGAGCGTGGCTTTGGTTTTGGGTTCGAAAAGAGCCGGAATCAGATGTTCAAGAACTGCAGCAGCCTTCTCCAGAGGCTAATGAAGCACAAGCATGGGTGGGTTTTCAATGAGCCGGTGGATGTAAAGGGGTTGGGACTGATGGATTATCATGACATCATCAAGCACCCCATGGATTTGGGCACAATCAAGTCTAGACTGTCTCAGAACTGGTATAAATCCCCACAGGATTTTGCGGAAGACGTCAGGCTTGTTTTCCGTAATGCTATGACTTACAATCCCAAGGGGCAGGATGTCCACTTCATGGCCGAGCAATTGTCCCAGATTTTTGAAGAGAGATGGGCTATTATTGAGGCCGAGTATAATTCGAATTGGAAACATCGCATGTACTATGATGGGAGGATGCAGGCGCCTTTTTCTAGAAAAGCTCCTCCTCAAAATCCCTATGGGGCTGGTTCGATATCTTTGTACGTGCCTCCTGGGACACAATTGAGGGCTTTCGATAGGCCTGAGCTTGGTGTTTCGCCCATGTCTGTCGATCCCAAAGCTCAACGGCCTAATGCTGGGCGGACGCCTGTCCCAAAGAAACCCAAGGCGAAGGATCCAGATAAAAGGGACATGACTTACGAGGAGAAGCAGAGGCTTAGCAACAACCTTCAGGGATTGCCTTCCGAGAAGCTCGATGCTATTGTTCAGATCATTAAGAAGAGGAACACTGCACTCTCTCAACATGATGATGAGATCGAGGTGGACATTGACAGTGTTGATCCGGAAACACTTTGGGAGCTTGATAGGTTTGTCACTAACTACAAAAAGAGCTTGAGCAAGAACAAAAGGAAAGCTGAGCTTGCTCTTCAAGCGAGAACAGCTTCTAGTCAGAATGTTGTTTTGAAGGTAAGAACGTAAAGATGTCATTTTTAGTTGTGTAATTATTTTATTTCAAAGGGGTATCTGTTTTCGGATCTTTGTCTGAATGTATTGAATTGTATTTTTACCATATTGCAGAACTCAGTTCCACCTGTAGTGGATCAGATTGGACGTGGGTCAGGTATATCAGTTTTATGCTAATTCCGGTATTCTGTATTTTTTCTTCTGAGCAAATAGCCTAACATTTAATTTTATTACGAACAAAGCTTTCGAAAGGAGTACTGGTCCACCTGCTAATGGTGACAATCAGGTTAATAATGGAAGTAGATCTAGCAGCTCAAGTAGTTCGAGTAGTGATTCTGGATCATCTTCAAGCGGTAAATATTGATTTTTTTCCATCTCTGTTATTGTTTTGCAATGTGCTGTTTCGCCAGACTCTTGGCCAATTTATGTGTTACATAAGTACGTGTCTTCTCCTTTTCTCTTTCTACATTTGGCGATCTGACCCAACTTTATGTTATACATTTTAACGTTTATTATTTTATGCCATGTAATTTTAAGANGACGATTGTCACATGATTTTTCTTTTTTCTTTCGTGAGTCCCCTTCAGTCCAATTGATGATTTGGACATGTTGTAAATGTATAAGTAGGTTCTTTCTTTCTCTGTTTAGGTTGTTGACTACTTCCTTCAGTTGATTGATCCTCTTACATACTAAAAACCTGTGTTTCTTTTTTTCCACGGCATGACAAGTATCTCTTTTATTTCTGTATGTAAGGCCTAGATATATAATCAGTATATCACTTTTATCTCACCATAAGTGTTTTTGTCTTGTCCATTCATTACTTACAGATTCAGACAGCGATAGTTCCTCTGCAGATGGATCAGATGGTGGGCATTCACCTAAGTCATAAAACGACGATAATAATGCAGGTAAAGGATCAATTTGTTCATTCTCTTGGGCTTCTTCCTGTAGTCATTTGAAAGTTTTCTGGGATAGTCATTCGTTGAGTTTCTTTGTTTCTTGTATTCATTATTTATTTGTGCTATATACTTCTTTTTTTTTTTTATTGAAACATTATGAGCGATTTCCTTCCATTATACTTTGGTAGATTGTCTCCAATGTGTAAGTGATTTTCATGTGAAGTGAAGTTTTGTTGAATTTGAGGAAGTTGACATGCTACTCTCTACTTAAGATACAATTGTTGTCCTCGTTTTAGAAGCCAATGCAGGATAGATATTGTAAAAGCTTTGCACTTTTAACACTTAACAGTCCAGTTGACTTAACTTACTGTGCTGGCAATTACTTGGATGGCGAAAATGAAAGTGAAAAGAAAAGCACTATAGCTAAAAACCAGTATGACCATGTGTATCAGAACACATGTCTGGTGTACTTTAAGAGCTTAAATGGAATAAAATTTGTTATATTATGCATATGTGCTGTGCTGCATAGTTTGTACTCCCTCCCATTCCAGCTGTCATCTTACATGTGTTGTTATGCAAGAAAATGCTCCAGTCTTGTCTTCATCAAGTTAGCTCTAAAATGCCAACTTCTGAAATCATTATTGACTATTGAGTGTAGTATTTTATTTCTTGGATAAACTTGTTTAACATCACAAATAGAGATGATTGTATTAGAATGCCTGAAAAGTAAAATTGCAATTTGCGTGAATGTTTGTAATGGTTATATGGCAATGTATTCCATACCTGGTGGACTGTTGTTGTCAGCTTTTATATCGTGGTAGTGCACTCGAGGAAAAAGGGGAAACAGTG